CTCTTCTCTTCTCTTCTCTTCTCTTCTCTTCTCTTCTCTTCTCTTCTCTTCTCTTCTCTTCTCTTCTCTTCTCTTCTCTTCTCTTCTCTTCTCTCTTGCTATTTTGAACAGCTTGGAGAAGTCATTGGTAGCCTGAACTCCTATGAATGAGATTTTATGTCTTTGGCACCCCTGGATGTTTGGATGTAAACCCATGGGACAGAAATCTTCAGCAACAACCTCCCACATCTTGAATGGGTTCCAAATCTCATGTTTTCTTAGTAGTGCCAATACTTGCTCCCAGATTCAGTCTTTGCTGTGCAAACTCTTGACTTCCTCCTCCACATCTGCTATTCATGTAGAGAGTGTGCCCTGACTAAGAATAGCTGCAAATGCAGAAATAGGTCCTGGATGCTGACTTCAGCATCCACAGAGTTTAAATTTGTCTGCATAGCTATGTCTGTACCCATCTATGTATAATAATAAAATTAGCACCTCTACTGCCTCCTGTTTTTAGAGGAAAATCACGTGTAGTGAAACAGGCTGGGTTTTTATGGGCAGCATTATCTTTCTTCCCAAGACCTACCTTGGACAGGCTATACCTTGGTTGGCTAAAAAAAGGCAGAGGTGAACCATTAATGCCATTAGATAATTTGGATGATTGGCTTCTCAGTCTCGGATGACTAAGGCCTGATCTGTTCCCCATCTTAAAACTCAACCGATTAGGTGTTCTGATCATCCAGTAACATAGCAGACTGGTTTTTTTAAAAAAATGCCCTTCTGTTACTCTTCTTCCAGTTGTGGTGGGTGCTGGTAGATTTTCCTTTTCTAAAAATCTCTTTTAACCTTTTATATTTAGGAACTCAGTCTAGGTAAGGTCACAGCTTGGAGAGCTAGATTCCAAATGCAGAAATGCTGCTTTGTGGATCAACCGTTTCCTCTTCTGGCTGCACATTTACATGTTTGTTTATCTTCATCGTTTTCTATAGCTGCCCATCTTGTAATGATGACTCTGAGTGGTGAACATAAAATTAAAACTCAATAGAAAACAACCAATAACAAAAGCCATAAATATACATATGGTGGCAGCCGAGGACAACAACAGTTACTGCAATAACCTCCATCTCAATGGCCGTCTCTTGATTGTTGTATTTCTATCCTGCTCGTGAAGCTGCAAAGTTCCTCCAATAGCCATTCCCTTTTCCTCTCTGATTTTCAGGCTGAGCAAATCCTTGCTGCTTTCTGAAGACTCAGAAATGGGTGAAGGGGTGGAGGAAAAGCACAGAGGACTTCTCTTGGATGAGGAAGAGGAGGGAGAGAACAGGAGTGGGAAGACGAAGACCAGGCATCGGAGTTGGGATGAGCAAGATCTCTTGATGAACTTCTCCAGTGAGGTTGGTATTCTGCCTTTGAGACAATATGGCTGAAGCAGAACAAACAGCTTAGCACAAGAATGGGGCGCTATCAAGATTTAATTTTTCCATTCCAGATTTAGGGTTAGGGTTGAATACATACAATTGCAGTGGTTCTTGTATTCCCTTGAGCAACTAAATCAGCTCAGTGGTTGAAATGAGCTGGATGTAAATCAGTAGGAGCTATCATACAGCACCACTTTCCTCACTTTGGTGGCCTCCAGATGGGTTGAACTCCCCTTCCCAGATTCCAGCACTAGAGGTGAACCCATTGGAGGAGGCTTGAGAACACGTCTCTGAATTCTTGGTAATGCTAGTTGATTCCACATCAAGATGAGTAGAGATTTCTGGATGAAGAAGGCATTCCTTTTGCAAATTCCCCTGGATCCCTTGCTTTCCTCTGCTTGCACTCATTCCCTCGGTCTTTTTTTCTTGCAGCTCAAGATTAAGAAGAAGAAGGTGGCATCTGATCAGGAACAACTGGTGAGCAAGCTTGACAAAGCCCTGTCACTCACCAGGCGCAGCAAGCTGAAATCCCCTTTCAAGTTTGTGGATGGCTCCGGGGGGAGGCAGAAAAATGGCGGCTGTTACAGCAACCGATACCTGTCCCCCCATGGTGCCTTGTTTGGCAAGGATGCAAAGAAGAACTTGGCTAAAAGCCTGACCTTCTCGTTGAAATCCTCTAAAGAAGGTAAAAACAAAATGGCTGTCAAAATGAAGAAGTTAGAGGTGGGGCTAAAAATGAAGGGCCCCCTGAAGGTTTCCAATTCACCAGCAATATCTGAAGTTAGCAGTTATTCCTACAGTAAGTAACTTCCATTTTCCTAGTTTCTTCTCCCCTGTGTTTTTGATTGGCTGTATTTGATGTCAAGGTTCCATCTAGCCTTCCCTTGTTTGCTGATTCCCAAGGAGCTTTGGACTACAACTCCCAAAGTTCCTTGAGCAGTCTGTCCATGACATATTGGTCTTGTGGGATCACTGGCTGATCCAACTGGCATTTAGCCAAAGTGGAAATCAAACACATCTGAAGGACACCAACTTTGGGAAAGCTACCCCACTAAACATCTCTTGACTCTTCTATGGAAATAAAAGAGAAGTCATTTTGGACCAATGCCTTGATTTGCATATCGTGGCAGCGTGATAGTTGATCCACCTTAATGTACTAGTCATTAAGACTAGTCAAGAGGAAAGCCTTATCTGGCATCCTCATCACTGATCATCCCAACTGGGTAACGAGGGTGTCAGAAGAAAGCAAATAATGCTTCATAGATATCCAGTGGCTTCATTAAAATTGTCCAAGTTGTGCAAGACACAACCAATGGAATAAGAACTGCTATATTGCCCTGGTAGCCAAGGAAACCCACATTAAACTAGGTTTAAACCAATTATCATTATGGAGTGAGTAGATAGTTAAATTCTCCCTTTCTTGACTGGCATTTAGTCTGATTAAGAGGAGGAAAGGAGCATATTCCTGTTGTTTTTCTTGGATTTGCCGGTGACTGCTTTAGACAAGGGTGATGCAATTTTATCTATCTAGTTTAATATTGTATTAATAAAGATGCACAGGATTTCCAGGACTTTCCCATAATCTGTATCCTGATCCTTCAAATTCAGAGATGCACCATCTGTGGTCCTTTTCCTGAAGCCCCCTGAAGTGTTACTTTTAATGTGGCAGAATGGGAAAGTTATTAAAATACATGGGAAATAATCATAATACTTGCATTTCATGCATTTAATATTAATGTAATTTCAGTGGAGTCAGTTTTAGTTCTTGGCCTGGCCTGGGTTGCCTTTTAGAGTGGGACTGGCATGCCATTGAAAGATTTAAGTGTGGCCCAGGACCCAAAAACTTTGAATCATGAGCGCTCCTGTTTGAATTGGAGGTGCTGAGTGTAGAATGTGGGACTACAGCGTGCCGAAGCAGCATTTTCTAATCATCCTCCATATTCTGAAAGAAGCACAGGTGTCTGTGGTTTGGAGACCCCAAAACGCAGTGCTTAAGTTGGCAATCATTTATGTGTGTTTTTTTAAAAAATAATAACTACATTGACCACAGATACAGATTCTGAGGAAGATGAGGAATCCCTGAAGGACGAGTGGTCTTCTCATTCCCCGACCAGTGCCAGGATGAGACCCTCCAGCCTCTATAGTGTAATGGCCCGTAAATGCAGCAGGATCTCTGGCATCTTCAAAGCTAGAAAGAAGAACATTTCCACAACTAGGACTCTCAAATCTAAATTGGCTGCAAACAGAAAGCAGGAATTTTGTTTACTGCCCAGAGAGGCCAAAGCTGGATCGTCATACAGTGATTCTTCGGAGGACTCATTCGATCAAGGTTACTAGATTATAACACAAAACCAAACACAAAATGTCTAAGGTTGAGTGAATGGGAGAGCATGGGAGGGAGGAGGAGGGAGTGGTGTCCCTGGTTGGCCATTGGAAATGGTGCTGTGGCGGGTCCTCTTGTTGGTACCATAGAAGACTTTTTGTAGCTTATCAGTCCTGATTGACCAGTAGCCTGTCTACACCAACAAGTCTACTTGTGTCACAGTCGTTTTGTTCCTGACCAGCTCTTCTAAGAGCATTCTAGTCTCCTTTCTGCACACACGTATACTCTTCCTAATTTTTTTTAAAGAATACTTCATTTCTTGTTGCCATCACTGTTGTTATATGTGGCTTATTTTTTTCCCCCCTTCCAAATTTACTTTTGGCATGTGTTAGAGGGCATGGGAGAGGAAATGTGTAAATTAGAATACCTGTTGTGTGGGAGTGCCCCCCTAAACCCCAAGATGTTTGTACTGCAATTTGGTACCAAGCTTTTTATTAAAAATATCCAGTTTGTTTTTAACTAAAACCGTCTGCCTTGTCTCTCTTGCTGTGTCTCTTTAGGTAGCTTGACGCTTCACTTCATCTCGCTGTCTCACATCATTCCCAAAGATGTAGGGGGAAAAAAAAGGAATTAACAAAATTGTGATGTGTTTTCTATTATTCAAATATCCCTGGCTTCAATTCTCTACTTTCTAGGAGGAAAAAGGAAAAAAAATCTATCGGCTGATCTCACCTTTCTGTTAAACCGAGCACAGCTTCTTATGTTGTGCATAGATGATTCGACAGTGGGTCGAGACGTTTTGTCCCCTGTAAACACACCGTTGCATATATATATTTATATATTTAAGATGGCTTTTTCTTTTGCCGAAGACACAAAAACTCATGATGCTTTGAAACCATTGTTTCTTAAAAACAGCTTTAGTTCCATCAATGAAACCCCTATTTCTCAGCCACTTCCAAATGAGGGTCTAAGAAGGTTCAGCCTTTTTTTTCCCTCCCAATTAATTCAACTTGAAAAGAAATCAATGACTATTTCAAGCAACCAGCTTACGAAGAGAAAAGCAATGGCTCAATGGGATCTAATATATATAGAGAGAGGAGATTTCTTTTCTTTTCTTCTTCTTCTTCTTTTTTTTTTGCTAGATCTGCTCTTCTGTTTTGGGAAAGACCCAGAAGGAGGACAGAGAAGCCCAAGTGCATAGAAACATCCCAGTGGACCTCAAGACCTCTCCATCTGCCCACCCAGCCTCGTTTTAACCACTTTGATCATAATAGAAAAGGTTAAATAATGAACCCTTAGGCTTAAGACAAGCTGAGATTGTGTTCTCCTATCTATAGGCTAACCAAGAAAGAAATGTACTCCTATCAGCAAAGGGGCCTCCTTGCGGTCAAAGCTTGACCTTCTTATAGCCTCCTTTTGCTATCTTCTCTTTTCCTAAAGTGTTCCCTTCAGCTGGTTACAATAGAGTGGAAGCATGTAGTAGTAGTAATTAATAATAATTATTTTTCCTAAAGGTAAATTCTCTCTCCTGGAGCTCAGCTCCTCCTGACTTGGACCTAGCCATGCTGTTTTCTTGGCAACCATGGGTTAGTGTTTTGCCACTGCATTCTTCAAGGATGGGGTTTTTGACATTATTATTATTATTATTATTATTATTATTATTATTATTATTATTATTACTACTACTACTAGTACTAGTAGTACTACTATCTTAAGAAATTTGAATAGATCCTTGAAGGGGGTACCTCTTGTTAAGGTTTGGCAGCAAAGAGTCTTCCAACGTTGAATGGACTACCAATTGTATGATCTCATGAACTTTTGTTCACCATTCATCAGGTGCTGTTTTTCTAAATGGATAGTTAGCACTGGAGAACTTCTCAGTGTAAATAATAAATTAAAAAACTTAAGCTTTCGGTTAAAGAGAGAGGGATGGGGGGAGAGAAAAGATAGACCTCAACAAAATCCACTCTAACTTGCTTATTTATTTATTTGAATTGATTGGCCGCCCAACTCCAGACTAATTTCCCTTAAAGGCTGGAATCGTATGTATGCTTAGTTGAAGACAAGCCCCATTGAATCCTATATGATTGATTTCTAAGTAAATGTGACATCTGTATTCTATGCCACCATTAATTTGACTCTTGAAGCGCAAAGGTTGGGTGTATGTGTGTGTATGTACACACACATACACACACACACACACATAGATACTTACATCTACACACACACATAGATACATACATACACATACACACACACCCACACACCCCGAGGATGCTAATTTTTCCTTTTAGACCCCATTTGAATAGAATATCACTTTTTTGGGACATCTTCAAATTCTTTTGAACGTCACCCCATTCCTCCTTGCAAGTTAGGGTTTGTGGGAGCTGATCAATATGTTTTCCAATTCTATGTGCAAAGGGTACATTGTCTGTGGGAGGGGGGAGGAACGGGAGGGTGGGCGGGAGGGAGAAATCTTGAATCTTTTTGCCAAAAAAAATTAATAATAATAATAACAGAGATGCAGAAATGCATGTGGATACACGTATCTACGTGTTTGTTGGTGTTAAGGGATATTTGTGTAATAGCGTTGCTAATGGCTTTCCCTGATTTTACTAAAACCATTGATAACCTCAGCTTTTCCAGCTTGCTCTCGCTCTCCTTGCAGCTGCTTGACCAAACCTTTCACCCCGGTCCCTACTCATGGTGCTTTGACTGTCTGTATCGCTCCCTTACATTTGCTCTCGTGCCTCCACTAAAGACACTGCTCAGCGAAAAATCTCTGAGCCTGACTCTTGTTATGTAGGTAGGCAAAACCACCTTTCTCTTTCTATCCTCTTTAAAGCTTGGCAATTTTGCACTCGTAATGCCCGTTCAGGACAAATGTGGAACTTGTATGCCTTTTTCTCCCCCTCCCGATAGCCGGCGTGTTCTTTGTGGGATGAACTGAAGGACGACGGTGGTGGTTCCTTGGAGAAGACATTTCGACATCCTTTCCAGGAGTTTCAAAATGGCGGCGGGGACCAAGGGCGGCCGGGCGCTTGGGGGGACGGACTGGGAGCGTTGACCGGCAGGCTGCATCAATGGCAGCTTCTCGCCCATCTTTCCAATCTAAATTGGGGGTTTCTGGGGGGGAATGTGGGTTTTGTAGTCCCCTTGTTCCTCCCACTCTAATTTTGTAACTCCTGAACAGGAAACTGCATTTGGCTAAGGACTCCAGAAGGATTTCCGCTGTTCCTGCTATAGGCGTGGCAGATGTTTACATCTCCAGCTAAAATTTCCATGGAAAAAACCCCTCTTCTTGAGAGGTAGCATTTTATACGTCTTTCCCCAGCCACTGTATTGAAAGAACGGTGCAGTTTTATTTAGCTTGGTTAACCTGGTTACAGAAGAAAACCTCCTTTTCTGGGGTTGCACAAGACAGGGAACCATAAAATAAGCGTGGGATTTGCACACCAGGCTTGGCCACTGAGAGCAGTCCAACACCCATCAACCTGGATGGATACTAACCCAGTTTAGCAGTGCTAGGTCTCCACTGGGTTACATGGACTGTGTGAAGGCAGCCAATGTGTCGTTTCACCTTTGAAAGAAGAATAGAATAATGTCCCAGAAAAAAAGTTTTTTTTCCCATGCAATCTGAGCCTTGCTTGATAATACATTAATCACTGTGAGGCCAGTTGACTTCTTGCAGAAGAACCTGGGACGCGAGAGATTTTCTGTAGCATTTGTGTTGAAATGAAACCCTCTTGCCAGAACGCCATTAGGAAGGGAAGAATATTTAATATTTTTGCAAAAGCAACCATCTTGCCCCTCTTTGTGGGCAAAACGTCTGTTCTAACACCACCAGCCTGTACACATGCTACTGGGTCAATCTTCTGGTTTTTAATTTTTTCTGAAATGGTTTTTTCCCCTTTTGTTTTGAGATAGATAGCTCTTGGGGATACAGGAAAGGCATTTCATTTATTTATATTTTTAAATTTTAAATTTATTAAATTTGTTATGGCCGCCCACTCCAATAGACCCCGGGCGGCTTACGTTTCTTCTTCTTTGGGAAAGACAAAAACCATGTCTAAGTTGAGTGCAGTTTTTAATAGCCATTCTTAGAAGCACTTTCAGTAACTTGGCAGCAGATTGTTAAAATAAAACTCTTTTCTTAAAAACAGGCTGTTGTCAGAAGGTTTTTCTCTTAAAAGAATCACCAAAGGCCCTATTTTTAATCAAGTGGAAGCTTTTGAAATGATGAATTCACTTGCTTGTCAGGTTCCAAGAGATCATCTTAGTTTTTTATGGAAAAAAGATTCATATGGCATCAACCATGCCCTTCAACAAAGCTTCAATTTTTTCCCAGTTCTGTAAAAAAAAAAAAAAAATTGGTGATGCAGTTTCACAACAGAAGTACAGGTGATAAGGAACTCTTCAAGACAAGGCCCTCAACCTCTAGTACAATGTTTGAGTCACTCCCTTGAGCTGAACACGGGGGGAAAAGAAAGGAGAAATCACATTTCCTATTGATGTCACTTGATAGGACATGTTATGCTGCTAGTCCATAGGGAGGGAAACCATGGAGCACAATAAAGAGATAAACTTTTTCTTTTAACCTGGCTCTGCTCTTAAGAAGGGTAAGAGCCATGAAAATAAATAAATTCAGCAGTAAACAGATCCAGATCCACATGTTCTTTACCAATCACATTGTTTTCTTGCCAACACTTACTCCATCATTTTATTTTTGACGTTCTCTTCTCCTGGAGAAGGCCATTTTGCAAAGCTCTCTAGAATTGATCCGAGAAGAGACGCACCCCCCCCGAATAATTAGCGATAATTAAAAAGATGTAATCATGGTGATAGCAGCGGTCGTAGCAGCAGGAATAATGGAAATCCTTTTCTGGAGTCAGCAGTGTGAAAATGCATATGAAAAAAACCATGGAAATGTCTTCGTTTTTGCAAACGCCTGTCAAATTGCGCAATAACCATGAAGGGTTGGCTGGGATTTGGACAGGCCAAAGTCAACCAGATGTGGAGGATCAACAGCTGCCTCAAATCTGCCTGCCTTTAAGCTTTGTAGGTTTGTTTGCAACATGATGACACTGTGTCGTGTTTGGTCCAATGTATATCAGTGTTAAATATATACGCATATATATTTAACGATGCCGAATTAATCTTCGATGTGCTTTTTGCTGCCTCCTATTCTCCCCTCATTCCTTAGCCACGCTTCTCCCAGTCATCTTGTTGCATTATGTAGTAATTTAACAAATGTCTGTCTGTTGTTTAACCAAAGTGTTGTTTCCCTCATTTTTGCTGCTGAGTTTTGGGGCCTGAATTGACAGTACCACCAGAAAATTTGACCTTCAGTACAACTGGGGCAATTTATTCCATCCACGGCTACGTGTAACTGACTGCATGCCAAACTGCCTGGCTGGAATCTTGATTGATATCCAGTTTTCATTACTTTAAACAAATAGGTTACTAGTCCTCATGGTTCAGGGGTGAGGGCCAACCTAATTCATTTCTGGCTCAGAGGGAAATTTTGGCAGTCAGTCTCTCTTCAGATGAAATGATAAATTGCTTCGATGAATGATGCAATTCGATCAGGAAAAAGGCATAGCTAAAATCTTTTTCCTGGAGACGTTCCCTTCCAGCGCCAAAGGAGGGGCCTTTGCAAAGATACGGTTGCTGCACAAATTTTAACTGCCAAGAAAGAATTGCTCCATGTGATTGATGAATGTCTGCCTTTTTTTAATGGCCGTTCTTGAATCTAAAAATGCCTTTGTAATGGTGTAACTTAGCTTCAGATGTCCTAGAGAGATAAGGAAGATGGTCAAACTTGCGCAGACCTTGGCTGCACGCCTTCCCTTAACTAAATGCATAGCGCTGTAAACTGACCCAAATACATCTGTGGAAAAGTTAGCCATATCTTTAAAAAAAAAAAAAAAAGAGTCATGCCGCAGATACAAAGGGGTGGGCAAGCTCAGAAGAGACCCAGCAAGTCAGTTTCATCCCCTTGCTGAAAGCTGATTTCCTGTGGTGTATTCTGCTAGCGGTGTTAAAATTCCCCTAGCTTAGAATAGTTAATTTCTGTTATATGCATTCTCTTGCACGTTGCTGAACCAGCAATCTCGGCTAATACTAGAGAAAACTTCACTTCTTAATCCCCCACGGGTGATAAAAAAAACAGCTTTATACGATCTATTTTTTGCCAGATTCTCCAAAGCCATGTCCTTGGATGGACAATGGTCTTTCCACAGTCCCAGTTAGGTAAGCGTTTATTTCAAGCCCTTGCGATGTGATTACGCTTTCTTGTTGGATTCTGGCTAATTTCATCCTTCATAAATTTCATCCTTCCTTGACGAGTTTGGTTCAGAACCAACGATATTTTGGAGCTGGTTGACTGGTACCCCCAATTGCCTTGATTAGACAAAATGGGAAGTATTATTAATGAAAGATTTCCTGGGTCTTTTGTGTGTGTTGTTGTTGGCGTGTGCGAAGGGAGAAGGAAAGCTGTGGGCTGTACTGACTTGGGGATTATGGGACTTGAAACCCAGAACATCAAGAGGGCCCAGTTTGGAGAAGATGATCCCAGATTATCTCTGTCTAAAACAGAAAATATTCTGTGCTATTCATGGAAACCCGTTCTCCTCCATTTTGAAACAAAATTCTTATCTATATCTTGAATGCTGAGTTTGGCATCAATTGTGTCATTTGGCATCTTTTTCTTCACTTTCCCCCCCTACTCCTTCTAGTCAGTATCAGCAACTGGGTGGGTAGGTACAAAGTTTTATTTAATGGGCACCCTATAGAGACCTCTTTGGGACTTCAGAGGTTTCCTTAGGTTTGGTTCAAAGAACTTCAAGGCTCTTTTTGCAGCTGTTAAGAACAAGGCCCTTATGTTATGGTCTTTTAAAAGCAAAGCAGAGCTGTCCCCAAAGGTGAACTTCTCAATGTAACTGCTTTTCTGCGTTTGTGTGCAATCTCAGAAGATTACTGTTCCGTGCATCACAAGCCTTTGTCGAACTGTGCTGTTGAGAACTAAGACAGCATAAGTGGAAAGGTCTTACCTCTGTATCATTCGTACCTTTTGAGGTACAGTGATAGGTAAACTGTTTTTGTTGCAATGGATCCATGGGAAGGAAAACTGGAGAGAGTCTCCTTCATTCCCAGCGTCTTTTGCAAGACTTCTCCCTTTGCTGAGAATCTTCTCTTGGCAAGGCTTGGAGTTTTCTTCGGAGCCTGGAGTGCAAGAATTGTGGGCATTTTGTAGACAGAAACGTTGCATGGCATAGTCTTGAGATCCACTGGGGTGAAAGGTGGTCTGTTTTGAAAACTGGATGCAGGTTTATGAGAGTTTTTCATCTTGTCTGTGACAGATTCTAGCTCAGAGGAAGAAGAGGAGGAGGAGGAAGAAGATGATAACGAAGAAGAAGAAGAAATGGAAGGCTACGGAGCAGTGGTCAGTGACAGGCTTTCACCACCTGCTTTGGATGAAAGTGGTTTGGGACTCCTGGCCAGGTTTGCAGCCAGCGCTATCCCAAGTCCCATAATTGTGCCTTCAGTGTCCATTGTCCAACTGGAAGCCAAACAGAAAGCAAAGAAGAAGGAAGAGAGACAAAATCTGATGGGTATGTTGGCCATTGTGCAGTGGGAGATGACTCAACTGGTGTATGGTTATTTGAGGATAGAAATGTTGGTGGCATCTATGCCTCAACTGGTTTTTCAGTAGTCAAAGAGTGAAAGGATGGAGCTGGAATAGATGGACCATCATTCAAACTGTCCACCCTAATTTGGGGCAAGGCTAATTTTAGGCCCAACCCAAGAGCAAATGATGAATGTCCACCTCCATGCACTGATGTCCAGAGGACCATAGATTCTCCACCCATTAATCCCAGCTTTTATAGCCCTTTGCACCCTTTCCCTAAACCACTAGCATAGGCCATTTCTTAACCCTGTAGTACCCATATTTCTAACTCATCTCCCATCCAAGCACTCAACAGGGCCAATCCTGCTTAGCTTCTGGGATCAGTCTAAGTAAAAAGTCTTCAGAATGGTGCTATCTGGGGAGAATTAAGAGAAAGGGGTTCTTTTTCTTTGCTAATTGGGATGAAAAAGCCAAGTGTGGCTGAAATACCTTCACGGCTACAAGGTAATCTGTGCAACCAAAGTGGAGTTTGCACTTTTGTACATTTCAACAAGGGAGGGACCAAAGCAACTCTCTCCTGAAGGCATCTGTAGATGCTTTGCTTTGGCTCCGCCTGCCTCCCTATCCATCTTGGGCTCCCCTGTGTCTCACTAGCGTGAATAATTGAAATTTCACTTGTTCATCCCCTTGGGCTTTTCAAACCGCAAAAGTGCCCCTCAAAGCAGCATCATGCCAAGTTAGACAGTTCTGTCCAAAAGGCTCTGTTTAGAAATGCCTTTATTAATATGTTTGAAATTATCGTGGAGTTTATAGCTGATTTGGGAACAGAAAGGGCTGTTTTCCATGGGAAGTTGAATTACTTGACATCTGCTCCCCCTTCCCTGAATCTGAAAAGAGAGCGTTCTCTCCTATTCTTCCCTCACCTGGCACCCTCCCAGAATTCCCAACAGCCCCGTGGAAGTTGTAGTCCTGACGCATTTGGAAATGAAGTAAAGCGTGTCCTTTGGAAGAGAAGGGAAAGACCATGGTGATAAGCCAGGGGAATTTCCAAGTTAAGTAGCTGTGGATAGACAAGAGTTTCAAGGACTGGAAGGGGTTTTCCATGAGTTTGTGGTCTGACTCTGTCCTCCCTGTGGTTGGGGAAACTGAGGCATAGCCAGGCCTTCTGAAAGGAGATGGGGGAAATTCCCTCATGTCCAATTCCTGCAAGTGGGCCAAAGAGGTAAGGAGGTTCCCGAGGCATCCCATGTTTGCTGCCAATTCAGCAAACACCTGGGATTAAACCTTCTTTCTCTGCCAAAATATGGTAAGGCAAAGCAGAGAAATCTACAGAGGGTTTCAGCTGCAGGATCTGAGTTCAGTTAAATTCTAGCCCGGGAGTGGGCAAGCTTTTGGGTGGCTGGAGCCCACATTTAATTTATTTATTTATTTATTTATTTTGCTGTTTGGAGGGGGCTGAAGGCTAGAGTAATAATGCAAAATAGGTGGGTAATTCTCTGTTTATTCCGTTTTGTGGTGGTGGTTGTGGAGGCAGGGTATTTATGTTTGCTAGCTTGTTTTGAATCTATGCTAAACCTGCACAACGGTTGGTTTCCTCCTTCTCAGTTTTGGAAGACCATGCTGCTGATTTTCGTTAGTTAGGATGAGAAGGCTCTGGGGACAGAACAAAAAAAGAGCAGGGGGAGGTCAGAAGTATGTCAGGAGCTCTGCTGGTGCTTCCCATTCCAGCAGATGAGATGCTGTGGCTAATTGCATTTTGCACCAGCCAACCAATGTAACTGTTTTCCCACTTTCCACAAATGGACCATTGGATTTTCTTTCTGTTGTTGTTATTCCAGCTTTCTACCTAGACATTCGTTTAACCCTTTCCTTGGCAGTGGTCACTCTTAAAAAACAAAAAAAGAATAATGTTAATCAAGCGTGGAGATGATCCACCCACTTAAGCAGCTTTCTGTGTTCAGCTCTCCCCCAGATGTGCAGAGATCCAGACTGAACGTCAGATATTCTCTAGCTTCTGATTGGACCCTTTTAAGTGAAGGAGTGCCCATTGCCTCCTTCCAAAATTGGTTCCCTTGTTCAACTGCTGTTTACCACAAGCAAATTTTCCCTAATATTCTTCTGAATTTGCCTCCCCGTGACATAAGCTTTCTCCTGGGTGAATAGAGAATAGATTACGTCTTTCTTCAGGGAGGTCTTTCTTAAGATCCTCAAAGGAAGATCTCCTGTCCTCAGTGCTCTGCATAGCACACTCTAAAGCATTTTGAAGTTGCAATGGCCGGCCTAAATCCAAATCAATTTCTGTCATTTTGAGGCACGGAACCGGTAGCATTGTCGTCCCACTTCAGCCTGGAAAATATTTCATGGGGTGGTTCCTCTGGCTGATGGAGCCTTCTTTTCTCCACCCCTAGGGACAGAGTTTGAATATACAGACTCTGAAAGCGACGTGAAGATCCGGAAGAAGTCTCCAGCTGGTTTACTGCATGGAAAGAAAGGATCAATAGAGCAAGGTCCATTGGCAAGCACTGTAGACACCTCCTCAGGCAACAGTTTGGACAAGACCAAGATGGCACCTGAGAAGAGCCGGAAGCTGAAGAAATTCAGATCACCCAAGGACCTGAGTTTTGAGTTTGGGCTGGAGGTGAGTGATGATGATCCCTGGAATCGGCGACGGAGCGAGCGGATTTTCCTTCATGACGCCACCACGTCAGCTGGCTTGGCCTCCACCACCCCAGCTAGCTCAACTCCTGTTTCCAAAAGTGGACGCTGCATGAAGGGGACCCCTTTGAGCCCCAAGAAGGAAGGGAACAAGGGGAAGGAGAGGAAAGAATTAAGCAAGGTATGAACCGCGGGCCTCACTGGGATGAATGTCAATGGGAGAGGAGTGGATTTCTGCCAGTTCAGTCTTCTGTTATTTCACCTTAAAGGAAGATGACCCCAAATTGAAAGCATTTAAAAAAAAATTAATTTAGAAACAAAATAAAAGAACCTTTTTCTCAGCAAAAGACCAGGTTAGGGACAGGTTGTCATGGAACAAAATCTATCTATGCAGTTGCTAAGAGTTGACAACAAATTGATGGCACATATTTATTTATCAAATTTATGTAGCTGCCCATCTCACAAATGTGGCATACAATAAAACCATAATCATTTTTCTCAATGACTCTCAGATGATCTCACCATGTTAAAGGTATATTATTCAGTGTACTATTAGTCTTCCTTTTTGGTCAATAACGAATGTCTTGAGTTCACATAAAGTGCTAAATCGTGGATATTCAAAATTGCAACGTTCACATAATGTGCGATGCCTGAATAAATGACCTGTGTGAACCTTCAACATGTTGGCCTAATTCACAAGACATTGAACAACAACAACAACAACAACAACAACTCCTCCTCCTCCTCCTCCTCCTCCTCCTCCTCCTCATATTATTATTATTATTATTATTATTATTATTATTATTATT